CTGAAATACCGAAACATGGTATTTAAACTGGATATGAAAAGACATGAACATAGGAAAGGACAGATTATAATAAAGGACATAATTTATTGGATACTTACTACATGCCTGGCTCTTTCCCCAGCACTTTATACACATTTTCTCATTAATATAATAAATCATTATGAAAGAGAAAAAAATTTGTGCTTTTACAGTTGAGGAAAATAAGGTATGGAGATACAAGATAATTTGTCCAAGATTAGCCATAATTTAATAACCAATGAAAATTTCTTTTACCAAATTGCTGAAAAACCATTATACCCAAATAATCTTTTCCAAACACAGGAAATGATGATAAAACTATTGACTTTACTGTTTTTATGCATTTTAAAATATTGACTTTATTTTTTAAAATACTAATTTGCCTAAATTATATTGCCAAATATAAAAACATTTGAATGCTAAAATGAATCATAAAAGTAAAGGACTGTTAAAACCCCAACTTTTTTGTGGCAGTGGAGTAGCTAACTGTTATGGATCTACCGTTCTATGCTGAGAGCTATGCAAGACACTTTCACAAAGGCTTTTTTTTTTTTTTAAAGAAGAAGACCTAAAATTGGGAGTATTGATGTCATTTAGACATTAAGATCAGATTAAGAGAGCTTAAAAAGTTTACTCGAAAGTGCAGTCAGTTACTTGGCAGAGTGAGAATTCCAGGCCGCCTTTGTGTGACCCTGTCACTGCATGATGCCTTCCGAGCTCCATGTCTGTGTATTTGGTCAGCCAGGGACGCTTCCCAGCCTTATAGCTTCAGTATAACCTCCAGAATGCTAGAGGCTTTTTTACATATGAAAAATCAACTGTGCAGTAAGATCAAAGTCAAAATAAAGTGTTTACTAACAAAGTAAAGATCTTCCTCAAAATTAAAGTATGTTGTAATGGTCTCACATCTCCCACCTGATTTTGAGGGTTGCTGTGGTCACAAGGAAATTACTCTCCATCCTTTTATTTTCTTGTGGGTCAGGATTAAAGACACAGCATGAAAGGAGATACTCATGCAATGCATGTTTCATATGTCTGTTTTTGGTTAAATGTCCTTCTTAAAAATAACTGGTTTGTTGCAGAATAAATCATCTTTGACATTAGCTGTAGAAATTGGGTTTGAGTACTAATGTTTAGCATGACATTTTCTCAATTATTTTTTTAATTGAGAAAGAAGCTAATGCAATAGCAAACTAATAAGTTAGAGGTAGAGGCATGCTATATGCCATTTTCCACCAGCCAAACAAATTGGTGTGTGTGTGTCCCATTCTCAGGGTCATGAAAACAGTCGGGTGATCAGGTTAAGTTCTGGTTGATACTGAATTTCACAGGTTAGTTGTGTACTGCGTTTGATTATGTTATGGGAAATGGCCAAGCAGAAATCATCCTTTCATCTCTCAGTGAAACATCATTAAAAGAATGAACAGAACACTCCTAGGTGAAGGTTATTGACTCTCACGATAACTAGCCTGCATAATCTTCCAACAACAAATGCTGTAGCCCTATCCACAGATGTTTTCTCCATTTCATTTATCTGTTTGAAATTAAGCATTTGAGAATAAATAGTCCAGGGGGTCTTAATATATGGTGACGGGAGAAGATATGACTTTGGGTAGTGGGCACACAGAGCAATATACAGGTCTTGTAACATAGATACCCCCACTTGAATCCTACATGTTCATATTGACCATTGTCACCCCAATAAGTTTAATAAAAAAAAGACTAAATAGTCCATTCCCTCTTCCTTGAGATGCTTCAATGTTTGAAAAGAAGGAGACGTATCACCTTGTATATAGTCTTACATTCCGTTTCAGCACTGTTCTAAATATTGTAGGTGATTTAAAAAACCTCATGTTTCCTGCTTTTAAAGAATATGCAAGTCAGGAAAACAGCACCCACATAAACGAGACCCCTGCTGAACAGCCTGGCCGTGGTAAAATTTAGTGCCAAGTATAGAAGTATACAATGCCACTGTAGTTCACAGATAGAGGGACTGGTAAGAGCAGAAAGTCTCTTTCTTGAGATCTGGGCTAGAGCAGTGGTTCTCAAAGTGTGGTCCAAGACCAGCAGTGATGACACGTCCTGGAAACCTGTTAGAAATGCAGATTATTGGGATTTACTGCCGACCTATAAATTAGGAACTCTGGGATCTGCAGACTAACAAACCCTCCAGGTGGCTCTGACAGAGCTAAAGTCTACGAATCGCTGCTGTAGATTATAAAGGATAGATTATATATCATTCTGATTATCTGTCCCAACAAGAAGTAGGAAGACTAAAGATAAATGAAATTCTCACATAATTGAGGAATTTCATTATTGAACCTTGCTGATGGTTACTTTTTTTTTTTTTTTAAAAAGACAACCTGCTAATTAGGATAAAATAATAACATTTGGTCAACAGTCAGAGATGTAAAAGGGGAGATTTTACTAACCAAAATTGTCATGTAATCCCAAATTAGCTTTTTTCTACTAAATGACAACTGTCCTCCCCTCTTTATTGTATATACAAAATATCTAAACTACACATGTGTGGAATCTAATGAACAAAATGAACTAACAAGCAAATTAGAGACAGACTCACAGGTGGAGAGAAGTCTGAAACCTGTTGGATGGGGGACAGGGCTGTGGAGGGATTGAGTAAAAAAGAAAAAAAAGAGAAAAAAACTCATGAACACAGACAACAGTGTGGTAATTTTGTTCATTAGATT